TTGAAAGTACGTATGAATAGTGCAGCGATACGCGGAGGCAAAACTTAATCTTTTTGGAGATCATGAAAAACTCCCGTTTGGATGACCACCGTATGTGCAACATTGTGTGAGTAGTGATGAGATGCGAGAGTTGTGTTATGAGCAGACAGTTCTCCTTTAAGCAGAAAAGTTTAAGTACATTTTTTTATTACATAGTTTTGTGTGATGAACAGCAGACCGAGTAAACTCCATAGTCACGAGGACCTGCTGTTCAGTGATAGAAACCGGTAACCTGAGCCCCGGGACTTAGAGTGGTGAACCACATAAGGCCCTGATAAGTTAGGCGTGGTATTGAACCGGAGGACAGCAAAGCTGCCTACCTACAAATTGGTTTGGACACGTCCTACTAATATCCGGACAACGTCTTCGTTACCGTGCCCCAGTTGCAGACATCGCGCCAGACCGGAAGAAATGAGGTGGAGAGAGTTGAATAATCTGGGTTCTGATCTGGCACTCGTCTAGAAATCGCGGCTGAGGCTAGATTTCGACTGTCGTTCGTTGGCCACATTCAGGTATGCAGCAGTGAATAGAAGTTAGCGAAGCAAACGCGTCCTTAAAAGTATGAAATATAAGAAAAAAAGAGGAAAAACGGAATGTAGTGAACAAGCAAAAATTGTTGTTATTTACTCCGAATCTGTCTGGTCGTTTGTTCCATGTTCCCTACGATAAAAGTACTGCACCCGCCTAGATCATCGGATTAACTCCGCTCTCACATGAACGATCATCGCTTTTTCTTGGAAATCTTGACAGCAACCGAATGAAAAGCAAAAGTATGAAATTTCACCAAATTAACTTGAATTTTAACGAAATTATGTCGTATATGGCAAAAGATATTCGACACGCAGATTCGTCTGTTGTGAAGATGCGGTGTCATACCACTCATTAAAAGAGACCATCAGAGTAATTCCGAGAATTAACACAGTCGCACTATTTATCGTTCTGCTGCAAGTATCAGAATCATTTTTTGATAGAATATTTGAAGAAGTATAACGGTTTGTCGCTTTGTCAACATGGGATTCCAAGAAAAAGATTGAGCTTCTTGGACAAGGACAGTAGACACAGAGTACAAAGGGTAGCTCATGTGGATTTCCACAAAGCTTGTGATCGCGCGAACTAGCACATATTGGCGCGCAAGCCAGATAACTATGGTGTTCGAAGATTATTCCCTGAGAAGATTGAAATATTTTCCACAATGTTCAAGTCATCGATCGACTATCAGGACCGACTGAAGCAGTTCGGGGTACCACATGGATACGTCAATGGTTCCGGGCGCACACAATTTATGTTTGCTGACGAGATTGAAGCCTAAGGAATACCAGGACGTCCCGAGGGCTTATCAGGGTTATAGCAATAACGACACTGGACTCAAAGTTGCGAAAAAAAGGCGGAATCACTGCGCCATCGAGGTGGCTGTCCATATGTCCTTGGAGGGCAACCATCACTATATGCGGTAATGGAGTGGGATTTGGGAATGATCGTTCGGAATGACTCAGATTGTGTCAGTACGTCAAAGATGTTAGTTTGGTTAAACGTGTATTGGACTGCTGCTAACAGACTTGTTCCTCAGCCTCTTTCAACAAAGTCTCGACCGCACAAAGGGCACCCCATTCCCGTTTGAAAAATCCAGCTCAATAATGACAGTAAATCACTCAAAAGTTTGTCTGGAACGACGACCACAATGGTCAAAGGACTACTTATGGACCTAATCTGAAATACTGCATATGCCAAGACTTTACTCGTTTCATTACCGCCGAACTAGAGGAGTTATGAGCCTGGCATGTTAAATTCTGCACCAATCTGACCGCAGGAGTAGCACTTTACTGACAATATCCACGAAGCTTCATACCATACGAAAACTTGTGAAACTGGAGCCATCTGACATGCAAACCATCACTATTGTTTTAAACTGCTCTGTTCTGTCTTCATGATCTCAGGCGGCTGATGTGCTTAATCAGTTTCCTGTTAAATTTATGCTTCTCTCCAAGATGTCTCGATTTGATTCAAAGAAGGGAATTTCTGAGTCAGAAATAGCTGTCGTGCCGTTCACACCCCCACACATCACAATCAATGGAGGATGGTAATGCTGCAAATCAAGGGCTCATGTTTGCAAAGTGAGAGGTGATTGAGCTGCAATGCAGATGAACATGCACGTGTGTGTGTGTCTGAAGTGTACGACCGACATGCACCAAGGTCGTTCAAATTTAGAATATTACTAGGATAAGCCATTTTGAATGTGCCACAAGCACGGTATGTACATAGTGCTTTGAGGTGTGGGTTTCACTCTTTGGAATATGGAGGTTGGTCACTTACATTTATTGCATTCCGTCATTTTTGTACGTGAAACTACCTAATTTCCACAAGATGAATATTTTTTTATAATTTTGCTGTGTCCGGAACGGACCGAATGGATTACATTATATATTGCGGGGATTACAGCTTCAATTATTGTAAAGTTCGACTGTCGTTCGGAAATTACAGATGGACTCATTGTGAAAACCGATACTTTTTGTACATGTTCGAAATAAGCCTATGATACCAAAGTAATGAAAAAACCTAGTCCCATGGCAAAACGATGTTAAAGACTGACCTGTCACACTCATCCGCTCCATTTGTTTGGCCAATGTCTCTCCCAAGTTATTCTCTTGGTAATCAGCCAAAGTTGACAGGATAGGATCATTCGACTGTTCACCATTCTCGTCCAAAGTTGAATCATCACCGACTGTGCTAACCAACAAACCGGAATCCGTTTCACTTTTGTTCTGTGCAAGTGAATTTGACACTGGTGAAGCCAATGAGGTGGCAGTGGTCGAACTTGAACGACGATGCGTTAGCACCAGACTGGATTCACCAACACAACCCTCTCCACGATCCGCAGAATCCGTGGCATTACCTGTATAGGGTTTGAGGATTCAATCCAGAAAAAAGCAACTAGGGTCACGCGGACAACCCGAATTCAGCATGAACATACAACAAAAGCGCGATGGAAAAACTGCAAAAAAAGATGGAAAACTTTGATAGAGCAAGACGATATCACGCGTAATACGCAAGTCCATCGAGGTATCCAGTCATGGTTTGTGCTTAGCACCATCAAAGCGCAAAATGTTTGAGCAAAACTGGCAAGAGACTGTGCTCATGGTAAGCAGCCGGAAATATTCGAGTTTTTAATACCTCGGGACTTGATTACCGCTAGAGGTGGTGTTCGGGAATAGAACACATCCAGAATAGCAAAAGTTAGACCAGCTTTTGTCATTCTGCAACAACTGATGCCGCCATGAGACCCGATTGTCCCCTAAGGGACGGTTATACCAAACAGAGGTTCATAGTAATCTGCTTTACGGTTACGAGACTTGACCTCTCCACCTTGAGGATGCTAAACGACGATTCGTATTTGAGCACCGATGTCGTCGAGGCATTTCTCGTATCTGGTGGGAACATCGAGTGAGCAATAACAACGGGATTCGTCGTCGTATGCTGGGTGCGAATAAGTATTTTCTAAAAGAAGTAATCGCTGGATACTGTCATCGATGGATTGACCACGTTTTGCGTATAACTGCCTATCGTCACCTTCCCGTGCTCCCTTTGCACGTGATGGCCAAGGCTGTACCGCGGAAGTCAGACCATGACATGGCATTGAGGTATGAAGAGGCTCGCTTCAGCTTTGCCTCAGTTGGTACAGCTCACCCTCCAAGTCGGGGCCAGAGGGATGAGGATTGTCGTTGGTTAGAGACGGTAAAAGATATGGTCCAAAATAGAAGTCAGTCGAGCGAATGCTTTACGGTCTGCCTGTCAAAATCCCATGTTCCTTAAGGAGAAACAATAATCTAACAGAAAAATATCAGGTGTAAGGTGAGACAAGCAAAAAATGTTATTTTCGCTATCCACCACAACCGTTTGCCCCCATCCCACTGTTTTTGAATCCAACCTTCTGTCTCTGCTATTCTTGTTGTTGCGTTGGCACCATGCTTGTGCGCAAGCCAGTGGTAAACATATTATCATATATAGTTGATACAGAAGAAGCGGTTTTATTCGAGGAAACTTCATTAAATAGGATCTGGGCGGAACCCGTTCACGCAATAAATCCTAACACTCAAGTCTGAACAGGGTGACCGATCTATCGATCCATCCTCGAAGTAGTACTGATAATGTTGCCTAGCCTGGGGACGAAAAGTCCGCAAACAGCACTTCCCACTTGGAGAACCTTCCAACACAAACACGTGACTCACTTTCTACGCCGACTGATCAAGATCAATTACCGCCAGGTTCTTTCATTCTCGTCTAAAGCTCAATTGATCGACGATTAAGAGTATAACGTTACCAAGAGGATGAATATTCAGACCCTATCCCCATCAAAACCTTCGCCTTCGTTTGGTAGAGAAACCAGAGGGGAGGGGTGCTGTAATAGTCCCGGTTTAATAGGTGACGTGTGACGGTCAAAGCAAACTGTGGGGTTCTTAGTAGAAGCACTTCAGCAGAATGCGATTGGTGGATTCAAATGAAGTTACAGATGTGGAAATTGTCTTGGAAATTAGTTGCTTGCAAAATAATCTTCCGTCAAAAGTAGAGAAAATCGGTGATCGGGAAAAAATTAAGTGAGTCGAAAAAGATTAAACTATTATCGAATCTCTATTTTCCACAAGAATCGGTCAATTTGTGGCTAGAACTACCTACGGTACATGGTCCATCGTCGTTATTAGTAGTTAGAAAATCAAACGGTTTAAAAATACAGAGGGCTAGACTTACCCTGCACTTGATTATGCTTCGACTCAGGAGGCTCGTGTGTCAACGAGGCCGAACGTCGGTGACCATGCACAGCCAGATGATGTGTTCGCTCCATTTGCAGACGCTCTTTTTCTTGACATTCTTTTTCAAATGTTTTGAAAATCTGTAAAATTAGGGGAATACACGTAAGGTTAGTGGTTGCATTCATGAATTATACCACAAGTGGAGCGATTAAATGTAAATTACAGTAAACCGTTCTTGGTGACAATTGCTTAATTTCAATAGACGAAAATTGCGCGTTCAGAGAATGTGAAGCATTCTCATTTCAGCGGTGGTAGTCAATCAGTTATTGTGTCACTTTCGTGTTTCGGGTCGCAGAGACCGAGGTTCAAGTCTGGCCAACAACACTCAACATTGATTCTTTTTCTTTTTTTCTTTCGATTTTACTTCCTTTTATTGAATGCAGAAAGATACGATTTTTCAGGAAGGGGGAAGCGGTCAACCAAAGGGCTGCCATACAATACACAAATGGGGAATGATAGACAACTTGACTGTCATCCTGCTCAATTCCACGTATACCTTGAGGGGGCCTAGTATGTTCAGCTCTTCCGAGTCTCAGGGTTCATGTTACCAATTCAGTGGGTTCTCGTGACTATGGATTATTCTAACTACTGCAGAGCACAACACAGTCTATCGAAAATTAAGCATACAACCTGGAGTGACTGCTATTCGGGAAAACATCAGTCATCGAAAGAAGTTCAACCGATGCGTGGAAAGAACAGGTGATGATGGTGAACGTAGGAGAATGAAACAGGATTCGCAATCACACTGTCCAATGATTGTTGGCTATTCACTGAATGCGGGCGGTTATTCCAAGTTATTCTTGGCGTAAGGGCGTACAACCGTGAGCTGTGGTGAGAAAAAGCGAAGCTATAGTGCAAAACTCTGAAGTTACAAACCAATTCCACTATTCTGGATTAAATATGCGGACAGAAAAGGACAATGCCGTTTGACACTTGGTGCCCGGGAATGGTGTGAAACGGGAGCTTTCGTAACAGGAATTCTACAGATTTACGGCACAAAAACTAAGCATCTAGGTTCGGGAATCAAAAATCTGATTGGAGCAGTTCTGGAACAAAAGTGGTATTTTTTCACCAAAATATGTATCTCTATATTCACAACGATGTACCACGGATAAAAGTTTATCACCAAACGAACAATACTGAGTGCCCAGACTGTGCTTCGAAACTATGGCAACAAACAAGAGGTTCCAAAAAGAAGGAAAAAGACAAGCGGCAAGCGAGACTAAAAAGCACAAATATTGCTGAAAAACGCACCAGATTCACCAAGGCTGTCGATGACGAGTTCCACAGCTTCGGATTCAACAGTGCAGAGAGGTCAATATCACTCGGTCGATGCTGATAGACCAGGACAAGGACGATGCGCATCATGACCTGAAAGACAAATACAAATGGACGGGATGTACACATTGCTTTGCCTGTGTATAATAATATATAAGCATAACAATGTCGACTGGTAGTGACCTTGAAAAAAGTTTAAGTACGAATGCGGTCCGACATGGAACAGTGAATGCGATTGATCTAACTACAACCATCAATATATTGAGGAATCTACACAACACGAAAACACTGTTTGTGGATTAAACTTGTCAGATGAGTCGAAGACTACGACGATTTTAGACAAAAGGTGGAATGGGATTAGAAACAGAGTGATAAACGGCGTAAGGCTTCTGCATGAAAGCTATGACAAAATGGAAACGACAACGAAAGCGACCAATCGCGGATGAGAAATCAAACAGATCATCAATTCAGAAATGTTACCGAAAATCGGAACCTCTCGGGCGAAAACAAGACTTCCCTTTCAAGTCAAGGGTGTCTAGACAAATAGCGTGAATATACGTGCCGAATTCTCTTGTGGTGGCAAAATTAGGTCTCTTCGAGCAGATGGTATTAAAAAAAGATTTTCGACAACTGTTTTCTTCGCAGTATCCATGACACTTGGTGGAAATATCGCATGAATATTGAGGTCAGATGTGTCCGACGGAGTGGATAGCTTACTTGAAATATAAAAAGCTCCCCCAGCCACCTGATGTGGGTTCTACTAATGTTTCGAGTGAGCTCGCCTCGCGATGTTTCATTTCAGTTATATGTGCAAGTAATGGACCGGATTCTTAGCTAGATCCCCAGAGACTCATATGGTACTGAACGCAGCAGCTATCTGGCAAACAACAACAAAAATCGAATTGGCGTACAGTGAACCACCAAAATTATTTATTTATTTATTATTTATACCTAACCGTCGTTCAGTTCTTACGAACTGTTCTAACGGTAGCATATATATACATATATATATATATATATATATATATATTGGGCATGGCCAAGTTGCCGTCAGTGGTGTGAATTATTGCTTAAGGTTTGACGTGCAGAAATTGTTAGCTTCACCCACACTTGGCGGGAAAAGACTACATTGTCACCCAACTCAATATCACACCTAACCTATCGGAGTGTTGTAGAGCTCTGCAATCGATGTCCCAGGGAATCCATTGTGCGCTTCGAAACTGAACGGTGACCTCATTTGATCGATTATCGTTAATCACACTCGGTAGAGCATACTTATGCCGATCTTAGACTTCCAGTACCTTAGGACATCCATCACCAACTGTAATGTTATGAAATGATCACACAGTTTCGACCTAACTGTCTGTGATTCCATAAAAAGCAAAACGTGTATTATACAAAGCGACGCACACAACTCTATCCGTAACGGTCATTGCTCCTAAACTGGGGTTGGCGCTCTAGCAATTGACTATACAATGAGTTATAAAGTATTTAGCTAAATGATCTGTGCACATTTTAGCGTACATGGCATTCAACGGCGAAACACACCGCGAAGAATGCAACGAAAATACTTCAAGAGTTGACAGAACTACTTATAGTGTACGGGAAATTTTGAACACCACACAGGCACAGTGTATACTCAAGATAACTTAATTACCTGATCATGACAGGTCATACGATGATTACGCAAACGGAAAGCAAGTAACACAGCCTGAGATAGGGCGTCGTTTAATGCATTCAGTGGTCGATCTGGATTGCTCATGGAACACGGTTCAACCGTAGATGCGTAGATTGAAGCCAGATAGGAAGGCAGTAGCATGAACCACAACGAGTAAATGGAACTGACTATATGATGGGCCCAGACGAGACCGTTTTCAACAGACGCACGTTTCACTGGAGAAAAAAAGAATGAGGAACGCATGAAACAATTTTGCTTCTAGTTATTTTCTGTGATGAAGGGGAAATGGCTTATAAACGATTTCATTTCACGTATGGATGAGAAATATCGAATAAAACGTGTGTGCATAAGAAAAGTTGTTACTCGCAAAATACGTGACTGCAAAGAACATCAGTTAATTTTTATCTAAGTGTCTCAGTGATGTGCTACTCTTAGTCTAAACGACTGTGATATTGTCTATTCGTCAACTGGCATAGATCACTATTAAGTAGGAGCAGATTTCTCTACCCTTTTTAGTGACCCGAAACAACTTTGGATTGGTCGCAGCGACGTGACAGGGATTGAATGTAAAATCGTTTATGAACTAAGACCGTGAGACTACTATAATCTATATGATGCACTCGTCATGTAAATGAGAAAGGAGTTGAAAAGCTGGGAAGCACAGTACAGCTGTTTCTATCGGGCTGGGTTTCTTCAGCAGTGTGAATCAATCGACCCAACTTAGGGTCGAACCCAGGACCTCCCAGGGAGAATGCAGACATAACACCCACGTTATCACCGAACAGCTGAGCAGAACGTTTCGGGATTTTAATTTGCACGATACAACACAGCCCATGATTGCAAGCTTGTTGCGCACATCGCGTCTCGCTCATCTCAGCTCTAACCGCCGGGTTTACGACTCAGTTGGAAACTTCGGCAACCTCATTTGCACGACGAATTCACTGAATTAATCGAATCTTCAATGACTCCCAAACAACTATTATAATCCCATTCACCGGTTTATGAGAAAAATTTTAAATGAAATGCGGTGGCTATCAATTCTTTTAAAGAAAAATACAGGTCAGCACCGTTATGCTGAGGGCAATCAAACGAACAATGAAGCATTTTATTTCATCCGGTGAATTCCTTGGCATGGTCTCGGGTGGTAAACTGAAACACTCAACAACCCAACCGATGATTGTGTCAAACGGTGATCAATTCCCTTAGACGGAGCTTCATCTGTATCATCGTACAGCGAAACACCGTGAAGCGAACTTCACTGACCGCTGCCAAACTCACAATGCATACA